GCTAAGCAACTCAGTGAGACCCTGTCTCTAAATAAAATACAAAATAGGGCTGGGGATGTGGCTCTGTGGTTGAGTATCCCTGAGTTCAATCCCCAGTGCCCCCACCTCCCACCCCCCACAAAAAAAATTAAAGTGACTATATGGTCCAGTTGAATAAATTACGTCTGTCTATATAATCTTTCTATCTAATGAAATACTATGCAGTTTTTAACTAAATGAGACCATTTTGTGTTTGCTGGCATGAGCAATGTAGAAAGGGGGAAAGGCTCAGAAGATTCCTTTTGTGTAGCAAAAAGGTCTCTGTGTAAATACATTTATTTGTGTTTGCAAATGCTTAGAAGCTGCATTGAGGATGCAAGCTGGGCTGCAGGCATTTGTTGTCTGAGGAATGAGATGTGGAGAGAGTGAGTCAGGTGAAGATAACCTTATGCTTCCTCTCATTTTACACCCTGATAAATTCGGACAAGCATGTATTCCTTATGTAATATAAAACTTCAAAGTGACCATTATGACAATTTTTATAGAGTCATAGGAAATGTTCAGAATTCTAGGTGATAAACAGGAGGTAATATCGAATTGTCAAAATAGTAAAAATTCATATGACAAATAAAAAGACCAGAATGCTCCCATATTATAATAGTTTGTGAATTGACGATGGAATTATAGGGAAATTTCTTTTTCTCCATTACCTCAATTTTCTGCAACCTGATTGCATGCCTTTTACCAATTATAAAATAATCGAAACAGAATTAAGGATTGAGATGTGGTGAGGTGAGACCACGAAGGTCTCTCATACAAATTTTCTTGATTGACTTTGTGTGAAAATGAAAAATTTATGTATTGGCCAACAGTAGGTCTGTGAAGAGTAGACAAGAGTGATATGAAGCCCATAGCTGACCCAGAACCCAAGCCCTACATCTGTAACTATTATAAAACCAAGAGGAAATGTTCCAGAGGCCTGCGTCCTGGCTGCAAGGCTTACTGAGAGTTCTCAGTGAAACCTCCAGAGAACCAGCTTTTTATCTTAACAATTCTGAAATTATCTAATTTCACCTTGCCTCAAGTCTGTGCTGTCCTTAGTGATTTTTTCGGTTAGCCTCACAAACCATGGCCCTCATTTATTCCCCACAGCCCACCTCCCCCCCACTCACTCTTCCTCATAACCTTTCAAATCCTTACATGTGCCACCAAGAACTATCCCACTTTGACCTCCAACTCTCTTTTGAGTCTTCTCTCATTAATTCTTCCACTCTCCTGCTGTAATCAAACCCCACTTGCCTGCCAACCTTCCTCATCAAAGCTCTCAGAGGGAAGTTCTTCATTCTCTCCCATCATATCCATCAAGGCTGAGAGACAGGCCTACCCTTGCCTCCCAGGACACCACCACTTCCAGCCACTGTGACTCCCAAATCTATTTTCCTTCCAGCTGAGTATTCCCTCCTGAACTCTAGATCCATATGCTCGATAGCTCTCTTAACAGATCTTCCACTGGGAGCTCTCACAGACACCTAGAAAACAAACCATCTCAAACCTGACCTTGATCATCTTTCCCTAAGTCCACTTCTCCTCTAGTGCTTTCCATTTAGAAGAAAACTGGGGATTCCTTGATATATTCTTCTCCCTTGCTCCCCACATCCAACCCATCACCAAATATTATAAAGTTTTAGCTTTTAAGTACTGGAGTCCAAGAATCTTGCTCATCTTTACTCCACCATCCAAGTCCATTATGTTATTTTCTTTCAAGACTATTGCCTGGTTACCCCACGTCATCTCCCACCTGGCCTTTACATAGCTGTCCGCTATGTGCAGCATGTACATAAGATCACATTCTCCTTGAGCCTGCTCCACAGTAAGCCTTGGTTCCGACCAAGGCTCTATCTCCTTAGTCAGTCCAACATGTTTTTTCATAATCTGCCTCTACTCCAGCCTCCTCCATACCCCCAAACATTCAAAGAGGAGACCAAGACAAATACAGTTCCTGTCCTAGAGTCATGAACAAGTAAACAAAATAACTACAGCCTGACAAGTGCTGTGATAGAAACGGACAGGTTCTGAGATAGAGACTGAGTGGGAAGAGCTGACCTCCTTGAGATGAGACAGGAAAGGCCTCAGGGAAGTGGTAACTGCTAATCTGACTCCCCAAGTGTGAAGAGGCATCAGGCATTGTGAAATCAGAAAAATCAATAAATTTTCAAAAGAGTACTTTGGCACTTGAAAATGCTTAAGGCTGACATAGAGATAGAGAAAGAGATAAAAGAGCTATGAGGAGGAGAAAAGTGAAGTTGGAGAGTTATATGGGGTCCAGTAGCCATGATCAGGGAAAAAACTGAGTTTTATTTGAAGGACAAGGGGAAACCACAGTCCCCTCACTGGTTACACTCCAGTCCATGGGGGGCTCTCTCATGTCTTTAAATGGTTCAACAACCTTCCTAGCCTAGGTTTCAACCTTCCAAACATGGTGTTCTCTTTGCCTGGAAAGCTCATTTCTTCTCCTGTCATCTGGATGGTGCCAACACATTCTTCAGGTCTCAGCTGAAATGCCACCTCATCCCAGTGGTCATGTCTGGCCTTCCAGCTGAGGTCAGGTCATGCTCTCTCATATCCCTCCATTTTTTTTTTGGTGGCACCACAACAGAAATGAATTGATGGGGCTGTGTGCAGTGGCATACATCTGTAATCCCAGGGACTCAGGAGGCTGAGGTGGAGGACAGCAAGTTCAAAGCCTGCCTCAGCAACTTAATGAGGCCCTAAGCAATTTAGCAAGAGCCTGTCTCTAAATTAAAAAAAAAAAAAAAAGAAAAAAGAAAGGGGTGGGGGTATGGTTTACTGGGGATGTGGCTCAGTGGTTAAGCACCCCTGGGATCAATCCCCAATACCAAAGGAAAAAAAGAAGAAAGAAAGAAATTAATTAATGGCATGTCTGTCTATAGCCTGCATATATTAAAAAAGATTTTGAATAGATGATAAATGCCTAAATTAATGAAAATTTGGCAAGCTTAGAGTTTCTTTGATCAAGGTTGACAACAACCCCTGAAACTTCCAGTTTTAGCTGAAAGAGCTTTGGAATCTACCTAAGACAAGCCACTTGGTTTACCAATAAAGGGTGAGGGCAGACAGGAGAAATCATGTGTCTGGAGTCACTGAGCCGCTCACCACCAGGACCCACTCTGGGTCAGGAGATAGACTCTCACATTTTTCCCACTGAACTCTGTGGCACTTGAATAAGGTCCTGAGGGAAGTGGATTTCTTGAGACAAACTTTTTCTGGCTGCTAATAACTGACTAGGAAAGGAAAAATAATGTAGGCAGCATTATTATTTCACTGATGGATTTAGTTACAGAGATTAAAGTGTCAGCTTGGTACAGTTCCAGCGTGTCTCTGGTTTGACGCTGGGTTTAGAGTGAAGGTAAAGACATCCAGAGCTGGCTCCTTGATGTGTTGGGTAGCAGTGTCCCATGGGTCTTTCTCTCAAAACTTTGGTTCACTTTGTCACGGTGGGTCTGGTTGGCTCCAGGGAGACCCACAGCTAGAAAGAATAACAGGGGCGTGCAGTTCAGGCCTGAGACCTGTTGGCACCAAAGTGTGGGAAAGGTTCTCACAAGACCTGCCCACAGTCAGCCTAGTCCAGACTGAGGTTATTAATCTTTCATGTCCCAAAACACTCAAGTCGCTGAGTTTTGAGAAGAAAAAATAACGGGGGATTGCAGGGAGGCAGTGTGGTGGAGTGAAAGAAGAGCAGAAGTTGACTTGGGAGATTGGACTCAAGTTCCACAGCTTGGACATCATCTCCTGGTTCAGTTCCTCACACCAGGAGATGATGTCCAAGCTGTCCACCAGCTTTAAGACTGGGTGGGAGTCTGTGGCTTCTGTCCAGCTCCATGACTCGAACACATGCAGGCAGTGAGGGTGGTGCTTGTGATCATATGGACTTGGCACCTCAGTTTTCTCATGTGTAAAATGGGCCTAGGAGGGTTGTTCTGACAATTATAAGGGACATTCTATTAAAACGACTAGCACATAATAAGTGCTCAGTAAGGGCCATCTATTGCTATTATTGTTTTCTGATACAGAAAAACATGCCCATAAAAGACACAGAGAGACAAATCTGGTCACTTACACAAAAAAAGAAGAAAGATAATTCCCAAACTGACATCTGTATCCAAATGGTGTCAAAGGAAATTCTTGGTACTCAAGACTTAATAAATAAATGAGCAGGACCCAAAACAGTTCATACACCTAATCTCACTTTAGACAAATTTATTACAAAGGCTGTAGTATGTATTTAGGTAAGAAGGCTCACAAAAGAACATTAGTGATTGTCTCTGGGAGGAGGCGATGCCCTGTGTGGTCTGTACTTTCTATTTAATTTCTTATTTGCCTGTTTATGTCTCTAAATTTGTTTGGCAAACATGTATTACTTTGTGAAAACAAAACAACATTTTTTGTATTAACAGAGAAAAAGGAGCAAAAAAACAATTTTGAAAATGGTTCTATATGCTTATAGATTGTTCATCACCTGGGATCACAAGTCATGCTAATTTTGTGCCTTTTCACTTGGAAATTGTCCTTAACAATTCTTTCTGAGCTTCTAGTTGCAAAATAAAACAAAAAAGAAGGAGTGAAGTGTCAGTGGGAAATGAGAACATGAGGGCAGACATGATAATGATTGTTTGTTAAATGAATGAATAATGAATGAATGAAGGAGACAGTATTGCTGGTAGATTCTGTGGCATGACAACTGATTATACACAGTAAGATCTGTGCTTCTTAATATGCTTACAGTAGGTTCCAATTTTGTAGTAGAAACCACACACACACACACACATACACACACACACAGGTTTCCTCTGGTCTTAACAGCCTGTATGTACTAATGGAGTTATGTTTAGGGCAATATTTCAAATTCCATTGGCATTTGTCCCTACCTGCTTAACACAAAATCCCCTGAAAGTAACAAAGAAATGGATAATGAGAAAGTAGAAACAAACATACAAGAGAAATTACGTCCTGTTGTCTTTATTTTTTTCTCACTTGATTTCTAACATATCGAACTTTAAAATGTCTTTCAAAATAGACCTTTGGATAGACCATTACATCTTTGCTTCTTTGAAATCTGAAGATCACATGAGTGTGGGAGTCCATGTTTCCTTTCTCATACATTCATGTCCTTAGTCAGGCTCTTTCTGGAAGGGAATAAAGAGTCCTAAGCATTTTCGGTCTCCCAGAGCCCCAGGACAACACCGGACACATAAGATCCGAGAATACCTATACTTTTAATCTGGAAAAAAGGGTTCAAAAATTCTCTTGCCCTCTAACTTAGTGGGGTTTCTTGGAATCTCCAAAACCAGACAATCATCCCAAGGCAAGTCTGGGGCCTGCTGCTCAAATGGGGCAGTTTTCTTTCCTCTGTACCCAATATTTACTAATTGAAATGGGATCTGAAAGCCTCCACTGGGAGTGCTCCAAACCATTTCTCTCACAGACTCTCAATCCTCTTTTCCCTCAGTAATCCAAGAAGGAGAGTGGATCACATTGAATTTAAAGATTTAATGAGTAAAAGAACATAAACCTCAAAGCACTTCTGGCTTTCAATACCTCATCCCATCTGAAATAATATTTTAATAGTGTTCTGAGAAAAAGAAACTGCGAAGATGAGTAAATGAAGAGTTGAATTAAGTACTTCTTCCTTTACTCACCTGGAGCATTTTGTTGGCTTTCTGCTACACATCTAGGAAAACCTAGAGACCCATGGGGCACTTTGGTGACAGACTCCCCTTTGCATTCTTCCTGACCCTCCAGTGCCCACTCCCCTCCACTTATCCCTGGGAGAGACCTGTCTTAGTGCATTAATGAAATCACTAACGTCTAGCAATGTGCACCCTAGTACCACTGTTTCTAGAATGACATTTATATTATACTCTGCCTCCTGTATCTTTCATGAGGGAGTTTTTATGTGTCACTAAAAAATACTGGATAACACTCTTTATTAGCCCCATGATACCCCAGCCCATCAATACTTGTCCAGGGCTGATGAGATCATGCTCTGGTTTTTAATCAGAGTGAAAGAGAACAAGAAATACCTTTATTAAAAAATCAATTAAAAACCAGTTGTCCTAGGTAAACAAAAAGCATCACCAGGGCATGAAAGGAGGCCTAGTCCTGAAATGCAGCGGCAGAGGCACTGCTGAGGAGGAGGCCACATTTAATGCTAGCTGCTATCATTATCACCTTTGTCATCATCCCTCTCTGCTCGTCACTTTCCTTTTTGTATTTAGATTAAACCCTTTCCTTCAAACACTAAAAGTGGCCACTTACCATTCTCATGTACTATGAATAATTTTTCATAGATGAGGGATGGATTTTTGCAGAACTCTCTATAGATGTATCCAGTCCTCAATCAACCCGGCCTTTAAGCAGGAAACCTGAGTGATGTTCCAGGGTGCTGCCGACCTCGGATTTCTGCTTCAGAAGTATGTGGGGTGATGGCTTAAAGTACCAATTTCAGGGTCTCATTTCCAAAGAATCCTTTGTAGTCATGCTGAGAAGAACCCAGAAATTTACATTTTAAGCAACCAATCCAGGAAGGACTCATGTAAAAATAAAGGCTGAGAACTTCTCCTATAGGAGTCATAATCTGCAGGCCTGACTTCCTTAGGGCAAAAAGTTCACCAGATGACAGCTACCAGAAGCTTAGGTCTTTCAACATAGTCACCTGTGTAGTCACTCACAAAACCTGGTCAAAACCTAGAATTCTTCCCCAAGGAAGTTCCCTCCTATGTCACCCCCTGCCCAGACAAGCACTGGTCTGACTTTCATTAGCAGTGGGTAGTTGTGCCCATTCTAGAACATTGTACAAATGGAACCAAAATCTGTTATGCCTTGATTCTTTTGCACAATATCATATCTGTGAGATGTCACAATACAATGAATATAGTGCTGGGCCACATTTAATGATAGCTGCTAACATCATCTTCATCATCACTGATTTCATCCTTTGAAGTTTTTTTATTATTTTAATTTTCCACACAATCTGTAAAAATAGTTTTTTAGTAGGTGACTGGTCTTCCTGTTAAAAGGTTCCACTATTTCAGGGGCAGCCTGGGACCTCAGACACAACATGGCCGGTTAACTTAAAAGCAAAATGGCTACCACACAGATGCCAATCACCAGAGCTTTGAGACTCTGATGACAACAATTTTATCATGAGTCCCTAGACAGCTAGGTCACAATTTTTATGTGGTTATTTCTGCTGAGTAAATAAATACTGGTTCATGAAGCTCATGAGTAATAAAACAGATTCCTTTAAATGGAGAAAGAGGCCATAAATAAGAAAAGAGTCCTAGTATTCCTCAACTTCTAGAAAGCTGAAGATGGGATCATTGTGTTCCCTAATTGCATTCTATCTGGATGACATTTAGAATCAGTTATTGAGGAAAAATATCACAGGACACAAATATTAGTCTTCATTCATGCTTTGGTTCAACTAGTGCTCTTTATATGGGAATGTAGAAAGTAGAGAAAATAGTGTTAAATTGATTTTATTATTTATTGTATTTATTTTTGTCAAGAAATCTTTCAAAACTGGAAGTCCCTCCAGAGCAGATTTAAACCCTTTCCAGTAAAATTAAATCTGGGCCTAAAAAAATATTTGTGGCATTAAGCTCTATTTAGTAAGGTAAATTCCCATGATAGAAAGCCCAGGATCAGATATTATGCTGTACTTGAAAAAAAATAACATTCATATTAAATAGTTTGCCTTTGGAAGAAAACAGATAGCAAGAAACAAACAAACAGAAGTCCTGAAAAAGGACAACTTCTCATCACCATGTGGATGGCGATAGAAGAAAGTGGCTCACAGGGAAGAAAAAAATGTTTCATTTTTTACACAGTGAGCTAGGTATTGTTGATGAACACAGGGAAGAGGTAGGAGTCAGAAACCCACACAGGAACACTTGGAACAAACACTCTGAGGCTCAGTACTTACAAAGGGATTGGAAGAATCCCTTTGGTCTGCCTTATTACAACAGTGGGCATTCCTATTCATTAATTTGTTCAATAAATACTCAGTGCCAATTTTGTGCTAGATACTGTGCAAGTTTAATCTGGCTCTATCTTGAAAACAAAAAGAACCTCATTTTACTGCAGGTTGATATTCATACTAATTCAATGAGAAATTTGTTTTGGCTACATTTTTTAATTTGCAGGATTACTTCTTTCAAACAGATGAGAATATAGGGTTTTTGATTTGCATCTCATTCTTACCCATCTCTCACCACATTATGCTTTGTGTCTTATTGTGTCTTGTCTCCCTTATCATCTTGAACACAGGACTGGTCTTATTGGTCTTTGTCTTCCTGCTTAGCAAAGACCTGGGACCTAGAAATTACTCAAAAAATTCTTGAATGAAATGAGAAAGAACAGAGAGCACTTTTCTAATTTGCCTCATAAAAAGTGCTAACAGTTAATGGAAGGTGATTGAATTAGAATCACCCAGAGAGATTTTTAAATGCTCATTCTCCAGGAGTCCTTCAGAAATCCTAATGAGGTCTGGTGAGGGTCTCAGGAATGCAGGGGGTTACAAGCTCCCTTAGTGAGCATCAGGCACACTTGAGAAACCACTGGAAAGTAAAATATTAGCCATAGAATATAAATTGGAAAAAAAGAAATGATGTTTCAGCCAGAGACTTATTCATTTGGACAATAAACATTGGCATCTAACATGCATTTTTAAAAAATTAAGTGAATGTTTCAGAGTCGGCTTCCTTTCCATAGTGGCATATCAGTAAGTCATGCTCCATGGCATGAAGGTCTGAAGCCCTACCTTCTGAGCTTGTTGGACCATAGTGGTCCATTGCTACAACTTCCATTTCCCTGTTTCAATTCCTGATGTAAATGAGGGCCATTCTGAGGTTGTCTGAGAGGTAAATTTACTGCCCATTGATTTTCACAAATCCTGTGGGTCCTGTGAAATCCTCTTAAATGAGTATCAGATACAGGAACAAAACTGGAAAATTGAATAGGAAATGCCATAGCTCAGAATGAAACACAAATGTTCATCTGTTCTGCTGAAAAACACAGGCCCAGTGTGATCTGGTATAAGCCCAGGCTGATTTGATAAACACATATTTTAAGGAAAAGCCTCAGACATGCCCCAATTATTGTAAAGATGTCCAGTTTAGAGTAGGACAAATGGGCAGTGACTCTAATTGGCTCCTTGGATAAATTCAAATTTTGAATAAGCAAAGTAAATCGTGAGATTGTTGTAGCAGCATTTAGTTGAAATTTCTTGCAAAAGCATTAATTAGTATCCTAAAACACAATATGGCTCCTCCTAGAACAGGTTACCAAGTGCCACTTGCTAGCTGATAAAGTCACAATGATGTACCATGATGCCTTTGTGGGTGAATGGTTGGCAACATGAGGCAATCACCTTTCTTCCCAGCCTCGAATGCAACAGGCTTTGTGTAAAATTTGCTTATTTGCATTTTAGTGCAATCGAACACATTGTATATATCTGTTAGCATCTCCTCTGCTAGCTGTTAGAAGTATAAAGTGAAATGATCCATGTGTCTGACCATACAGAGTTTATAATCGGACAGAACAGTTGCCTAAAATAAATAACATCGTAAAGGTAGAATGTGTTAAGTCTCCAATTGTGGTATAGACCACTGCTTATTAAACTTTAATGTGTATATGAATCTTGGGATCTTGTTATAAAGCAGCTTCTGATTCAATTGGTCCAACAGCCCAAGATTCTGCATTTCTAACAAGCTCCCAAGTGATGCTGGTGTGAGGATCACACTTTGAGCATTGAGGTATTAGACATCCAAGTGGAGATGGCCAGGAGATGACCAGGAATATGCCTTGAAATTCAGAAAAGGGGTACAGATAAAATCTGGGGTGTTACAAACATCTGGATGGCATTTAAAGCCTGTAGACTGGCTGAAGTCACTAAGAGAGGCTTGTGGAGAAAGAAGTCCAAAAAGTGGAATGTGGAGAATGTATTTCATGCATGCAAATTTTGCTGGATCTAAAGGCTCCTTTTGAGAGTAGTGAAAAACAGGAGAGCGAGGTTGGAATACAGTTGCAAAGGGACTTGAATACCATTTTACAGAATTTGGATTTGAAGAACAATTCTTGTTTTTGATGGTCCTAAGGAGAATCTAGTAGTTCATGTAGTTGATGGCAGATGACATCAGCCTTACATAGTCCCGTCACCCAGTGCTCATACAAAGAGTCACATAAAACAAGTTAAGCCATAATGCTACTCTGGGGCTCTGATAATTCCATAAAACATTTAAGGAAAGCAATTTTGAGTGACTTTCTTAAAACTGCAAGCAAGTTATTCCTGTAACCAAGAGCAGACTATAAATATGACACATCTCTGTTTAGTAATTGCTTTATTTTGGATTAAGACTAGCAATTTTCTTGTCAGAGACAGTCATGAAGTAGAAAGGGAGTGGGGAAATTCGTACAGCTTGGGCAGTTTTTGCAACTTGAAAGCCAATTTACAATTATTTTAACAGGGCTAATTCTGCATTAGCGCCAATTTTTTCCTCTGTGGTCTTTTTGGTTTGATGTTTTTTTAGGATTCAGAACTTTATTAACCATATTAATAACCTCTTGTGTGTTGTTATTCCCTTCTAAACTGGACTATCATAAGAGACTTCACGGGGGAGGTGAATGAGAAAATTGGGAAAATTGGATGTTGGTAATAGGTGCTCAGGATTTACCAACCCCATCTAACCTAGTCGTTGACGCAAATGTGCAGATCCCCAGGACTGGGTTGGCTCTTTGTAACCAGCTAGAAGCCATGTGCTTATGTGCCTTTTATATCTTAACATGTGGGCCTCAATCCAATTTTACCCAGGGCACCCTCTGTGCACCCAGTGATTATATGATAAATATGATTAAATTGTTTCATTCACTGAAGACAACATTCACAATTCCACAATTCCTACCCATCCCCCCAACCAAAAATTTTCTGTCTATTCTATTCTTTTTCAGTATCACTTTTTTTTTCAAGTCAGAGAATGTGCCAGGAGGAGAGAACAAAAGGGTACTTTGCCTTTAAAAAGTTCTATTTACATATAAAAATTGATACAAAAATGATGAAATGTTAACATTTGTTAATTTAACTTTCAGTACTAACTATTCTAGTGTTTGTTATATTCTTTGTTTTCCCTACTTTATTTTTGGGGTGCTGGGGATTGAACTCAGGGCCTTGTGTCTGCTAGGCAAGAGCTCTACCACTGAGCCATATCCCCAGTCTCCTGCTTTGTTATATTTCAACTGTTTTTCAAAGTAATAATAATTGTAAAATTATTCTTTGCTGAGAATCCAAGGTAAACAAGCATGCAGTACACCAAGCTGTTTCCCTCTAACTTGTTTTCCTGCCTCCACTTGCCTGGAATCAGAATCCACGTCAAGAGATGATCAAAGAGGTAGTGATGAACTTTTTCACCTTAAACTTAAAACTGCTTTTGGTTATAATGATTCTTTTATAGTTAATGTTTTGCTTATTTACCTGCAATAAAATTCATTCTTTTCAATGTGCCCCAGTCAAGGTCTGAGCAGGCACCACCACCTTCTGCAATCCACTTCGCCTCTCAGCTCACTCCCTGGATACCACCAATCTTTGTCTGCCTTCGTGTTTCCTTTCCCAGCCATTATTATTTTTTAAGTACAGTCACATCCCAAGATATAATTTTTATTTCCAGATGACTTCAAATTACTGGGTTCTAATTGTGAGAGGTTTCAATGAACATAATATATCACTTTTTATTTTCCAGACCTGTTGAAAATGAAAAGTAAAAGCAATACAGCTTAATATCACAGAGAACTCACTTGATTTTTTTTTTTTAGACCCACAATGTCAAATCCAAATCTTCTGAAATTTACTTTTAACTTACTAATGTTTTGTATAAGTGGATTTCACATGGCTCTCCCAGAGCTAACAGCAGCTCACATTTAGCTATTAGAATCTCACATGCAGTTTCTGTCAACATCCTTGGGCAAGGTGCAGAATGAACCAAAAACAAATTTATTTCACTCTGAAAGGATAAACGGGACTTCCTTTCTGGTTTCCATTTTGTGTCAGAGCTCACAGTAAGCTGAACTGACACGAAGGTGACAGCGTTTCTTTTCTTCTTCTGTTCCATGAAATTATTTTTAACACAGACATAAAGAAGTTTTAAACTTGCTTTCAGCACCTTCTTTTCAAATACTACATTCCAAGTTTAAGCTCAAACTTAAGTGTAATGAGACTGTTATCAACACCTGACAGAAAGGAGTGTAATGAATGAATATACCCAAACACCCTCTTGACAAGACTGCTTATATCATTCCTTAGGAAAGCACAGTAGAGATTATTTCTGTCTACTTTTTATGCATATCATTTTCCTAATATACCTTGGTGTCTTAGTAATACCAGGCATTTCTGAGAAAATCAGCCTCTGTCTACAGACACTGTGGAGAAAAATAAATGAGAAGTAAAAACAACCACTCTGTGTGTTCCTTCTGAGAAGAACTTTGAGTATTCTCCCAAAGCATTTAGAACATACATTTCTACTTGGGAAGTACATAAACTCTATCAGTGAGAGTCAGGAACCAAGCACAACTGTTTTCTTTAATAATTTTAAAGAAAAGATAATTTCATAGAATGCACTAGGAAAAAAAACCCCAAAATTTCAAAGATTCAGAGACTGAAGAAGTAGCGTATTTCCTGTTAAAGTAAAGCCTGTTTCCTTCATCAGCTTAGCATTATTTTAAAGTGCTTCTAAGCATGTGATAGTTTTAATTTACCCTAAAGCTTTCATGATATCAAACGAACACAAAATATTTACTTTCATAAGGAATAAACCTAATACATAGGTATAAAATAAAAGTTAGTTTTACAGCACAAAATTCCAAAAACAGTAAAGAACTTTGTGGTCTGTCATCTTTTAATTTAATACTTAGAGCTTTACAAGATCATCAGCCTTCACCATGAGAACTGTATTTGTACATATTCTTTAGATAAAGCAAGGAGTTGCTTAATATATTTGAAAAACTAGCAGCCAAAATAATCAGCTCCTAATCTACATTCCCATTATAACACTTTGGACATTTTAAATTTATACATATGGGTCTACTTGAATATGCAAGCAAATACACCCCTGCAAAGAAAAGACAAATATTTATGTACAAATAAATAGTGTTTTAGGGAACAGGCACTCAGATGTGAGGACTGATGTTTTATGACTTGACTCTTAGCCTCGATAAAACACGCTCACGAGGCAGCATTTTTCTTTGGGGATAAGTCATAACTTTGCCATAGAGGGCTATTAGGGGACCATTTACTGACATGGGACTGAACCTACAATTCCCACAGATAAATATTATTTAAAAAGGAAAGCTGATGTAGGGGATTTTTGGGAAAATCTCCCCAGGGGACATGAAGTTCCCCTGATACCCAGCATGTAGTGCAATTTTCCATATTGGATTAGAGGATATTATGTTGTTCCTAAGTGAGATACGGCATAAACACATCACTTTTCCACATAAGATAACTGCACGTTTACATCTATGGAAAACTAATAACTATAAAACCGCAGGCCGATTTAGAGTTATCTTGGCTTGCACGAGAAAATGTTTGTCTCCCTATGTATGGAGAGGCATGTCCTTCAGCTGAAGGTCTAATAATATCTCCCGGGGAAGGACTTGACCCAAGTTCTAATAGGACCGAGTTCTCGTGAAGTATGAAATTGATTTCATCATAAAGTTACAATTTCTGTTCTCTAATGCCCCAAAGTGGTTATAAAAAATGGTGTGTGTGGGGGGGGTCGTCCTTCTTCCGTCAGTTGCTGGTGCTATGAAGAGAACTAAATCTGCACGCATCAGGCAGCTTCCTTCTCCTGTCTTCACCCCAGTGTGGAATCAGGCCCTAGGGAAGTTTACCATTTTCTGTCAGAGGACCGAAAGCAACGTGGGTATGAAATGCTACTTGCATGTTACACTTAATATGGAATAAAGCAGATGAATTCCTTTATCTAGTCCCTCTGTGTCACTTGAACCTCCTGAAATTTCTTTTTTGGGGAATGAAATTAGCCACAGCATAGATTAGCTAGAGAAAACAATCAATTTGAATTTGGCCCAGCTTCATAAATCCCTCTGGTTCACCGGTGATCTGATAGAATAATGGATGGGATCCCTAATAGCCAGCAGAGCATCACTTGAGTTTTAGTAAAAAGTGAACAAGAAGAAATGGGCTAATATCTGAGTATGAAAATTTGAGCTGCACATAAAACATCACTGAAGAATATATTACATTAGCATATGGGACTCAACTTTTCAAATTACTTCCAAAATGTCTTGTTTTATTCATTCAGCAATTCATGGTGAAAAGAAAGGGGCTCATTATTACTATTAATTTAAAGGTAAGTGCATCAAAGAAATTCTCAACTTTCTGCTCCATTGACAGAATGCCCAGAGTTCCTCTACTCCTGTGACTAGCATTCTAGCAACACTTGATGCTTTTGAGTGTTTACTATGTGAAAGGATTCTGCTTAGTATTTTACATGCATTTACCTAATTTATTCATCCCCAAACCCAGGAGATATGCACAGGAGAAGATAATGACACACTTTAGTGGAAATAGCACTGGGATTAGGGTCTGATTGAAAGACCTGCTCTTGATTAGTAGATCACACAGGTAACCTAGGGGAAGCCTGCAGCAGCTTGCTTGCCCTGAAGCCCACCCGTCCTACCAGGTTCTCTGGCTTTTGGTAGTTCCTGGTCATTCTTCCCCTCCCTTTCCTCATCTTTTAGATGGGGACAAAACCTCTTTGAATTGTGAGTGGGTTAAAGGAGTTAATCTAGAAAACATGCTTAGAGCAGTTAGTGCTTCATTAAATGTTGGTTCTTAACATTATTTTTACTTCCTTGCTGAATGTCATTGGGCAGGTCCCTCCACCTCTCCAAACATTAAGGCTCTCACCTGAGAAAATGTTGATGATATTACCTGTCTACCTCATAGGCTCAACGCATGTAACATATATGAAAATGAAAATAGTTTTTTAATGATATGTTCCTTGACTTACCATGAGGTTATATCAAAATCAACTATCATAAATTTAAAATATCAAAAGTCAAAAATACCCTTGATTCATCTAATTTCCTGAACATCCTCGCTTAACAGCACAGTACAGTATGTGAGTTGTGCCCTCTTGTGATTGTGTGGCTAGCTGGGAGCTGTGATTGGCTGTCTCTGCCCAGCATCGTAGAGTATCATATCGCATGTCAATAACCTGGGAAAAGAGCAAGCTTGAAAATTTGAAGTAAGCTTTCTACTGAGAACATTTTATCTTTGAACTATCATAAGGTCAAAATTTTGTAAGCCAAGGACCCATGTATAGGGTTTCAGAGGAATTTGGCATCCTTTTTATGACAATAATATTGAGTTTGTCTCTAGATATACTCCTGAAAGAGTATTTTCCTATGGAGATAGAAGATATTAATTCCTCAATTTATTCTTTGAGTAAATATTAAGTACTTCTTCTGGGCCAAAAGGTGGGATGTGGAAAAGAACATGTAGTATGTGCTCTCAATGTGTTTGTAATCTGGGAGCAGAAGCAGACGAGAAACCACAGTGTTAATGACACAGCGTCCTAAGTGTTATGATGGACAGGTCTAAAGGTTGGATTGTTGGCTCAGTTTGCAACAGAGGAAACATGGGAGGTAAGAGTTCAATATCTCTGTGTCCAAAACAGCCTCATTGTTGATATGGTGGTCATCTTCTCTTCTTATGTCTATAAAAGTGAATTTCCATCTGTCTCCAGGGTCTTAGTATGATTTTTTTTTTTAAAGAGAGAGAGAGAGAGAGGGAGAGAGAGAATTTTTAATATTTATTCTTTTTTTTAGTTTTCGGCGGACACAACATCTTTGTTTGTATGTGGTGCTGAGGATCGAACCCGGGCCACATGCACGCCAGGCGAGCGCGCACACCAGGCGAGGGCGCTACCGCTTGAGCCACATCTCCAGCCCCTTAGTATGATTTACTATACAATGAAGACTATGATCAAAGGCCTCTTAAGTAATTTCCTGTTGTGCTGCTATTAGAGTTGGGCCCAAAGAATACCAAGAATTATAGAACTCACCAAAAAGCTTCAATTATAATTTTTCTGGTTGGGAAAAAAAATCTGGGTTTTCTAGAATAGGCTTCAGAAAATGGAGTCTATGGCCAGTATTTCATTAGATACCTTGATGACTTAATATCACTGGGCAGAAAGAGTTATAGAATATGTCATTTTGAGTGACCTTAATATGACTCTACCATTTCAAGACTTATCCCAGTGCTCCTCAAACTCTTGCTCCAGAGTGCCAGGAGGGAGGCCACTAGGAGCTAGGCATCTATAAAGAGTCTGGGCATAGCTTGGGGTCCTCTACAAGCATAACAGTTTTTGAAGTTTCACATTTTATCTAAAAATTAGTGTGAATTTTGCAGTCTAAGCTATGTTTATTTTAATTTCAGATTATTTTACATCTACGCTACATAATAATATAAGCTTATTTTCTCTCCAAATATTATTTCTTAATTTTTTTTCTAACCATGAAAGAAATGTCATTGTAGAAAACTATATCAAAAAAATAAAGAAAAAAAGAAAGAAAAATAAAAGTAATATTAAAAAAAAGAAAACATATATCAAATTGCAAGTTAAAAAATTAAACTCTTCTATAATTCCCGAACTACCATTGTTGGTACTTTTCCTTCTAGTTATTTTCACATGAATATAGATATAGAGATATAAATATGGAATTGTATAAATATATACATACAATTTGAAGTCTTCCCATATTCTTCAAGGCTATGTCTCCTTTTTGAAGTTAATAGTAATTATGTGATAATATGGCAAACATTTTTATTTAACAGTTTGATGAGTAGAAAAATTTAAATATAGTTTCTGTAGCCTCGGTTGGAATCCAAACTCTGTTCACTTACTAGCATCAGGCTCCTCATCTATAAATAGAGGCTAACAATATTACTTTTCACAGAAGGTAGATGTGAGTTTGAAACACTTCAGTATATGTGAAGGGCTTAGACATGCCCTGGCACATGGTGAGCACCTAAATAAGGCACAGTGTTATTTCTCTTCACTAATTTGAAACAGTACCTTTGTTATACACTGAATTCTCTTAGGTACTTTGGTCTGCATCTGGACTTTCTATCTTCTTTCATTGGGGGCAATTTGTCTTTTTATGCACCAAAACAACTTTGTTTTACATGTTGTCTTTATACAAAGAAGCCACACTTGGTTAGGCTAATTCCCTTTTATTATACTTCTTTTCAGAATTTTTCTGGCTATTATTTCTTGCCTATTTTTTCACAGGAGCTTTAGAACAACTTGTTTCATTAAAATATTTAAATCTTTCATTTAAATTACATTTGCTCAACATGGGAATATGTTCTTTGCAATCCTTCCGTAACTTACTGTCCTTTGTTTTCATTACATGCTGCTTTATTCTTACTTTAATCTACCCTGTCATTGAGAATTTTTTTCTACCACACTCTCTCCCAGCTCTGCTACCTAGTTATTTTTAAAGAATTTGTTCTCAGGCTTGATGCATGCATGAAGGACAGAACAGATAAATAACATTTTGGCCTCTGAAAGCAGTACTTATGCAGCTATGCACCCAGGTAGCACCCAAGTCTGCTCCTTTAAATTCCTGTGCTGTAGAAGCAGGTTTTATTACCCAGAAAAACAGGGTGCTGTGTGGCTAAGACCATTTCAGAACTTCTAAGTTAAACAACACTAAACATATTTTTATTCTTCAAAAACTCTCATACACTTTAATATCACTTCAGTATTTTTAAACATTAAACCTTAATTTTTTTTTCTGAGTCTCCAAAAGGAGATATGTTTTGCAGAAGTGCCCAATCCTTTGGTTATGTGAGCTTTTCTAGAAAGGAGCATCTCTTACGAATCAAAATCCTAGACACATCAGTTTGGGAAATTCTGTTGAAAAGGGTTCTTTCAAAGATTGTGGTACCCAGGGAGAATTTTTTTGTTTCTTTCAGTAAACATCTTCATGGAGGTGGACTATTCATTTTAAAATCTAGAATAATTTGTCTTGAATCTAAAGGAAATTCTCAAATTGGCCTGTGGGTTGAGTCTGAGTTCCATTTTTTGATAATGATGTCTATGTCCACATCTTCAAATAGCTTCATGTGTGTGTGTGAGTAGAAAGTTGACAGAGACTCAACCAGGCAAATGCTGCTCTGAACGAGAAGCCTGGGCCACTTTGGTTGTACAATGGTCTAACTTATCATATAAGTTTGAATTGTTGGCCAACAGAGAAAAATGCTTCCTAAAATACATACTGAATTTATTTTTAAAACTCTTCATTTAGAAAAGAATTACTTTTCTCCTTCAGGGAATTTTTATTATTTAAACAAAACAACACCCTGCCCAAGTATTAGGCTATCTACCAAAATAAAGTTTTGGTTTTCTTTTTTCTTTTTTTGGCAGACGGGAAATTATTTTCATGCAGTCATTTGTTGGACCTCGGGGTAAAATTATATTTCATAGCTCCCTTGTTCCCAGGCTATGGTTTAAAAAAAGAGATTGATGTCTGAAATTTTGAGTGTATTTGTCTTATGAATTTGTTTGATTCTCTTGGGAATAATTATCTCATATCACTTGAAGGTTAGTAATTCCTTAGGAATGACCTCTCTATTATAATTAGTAACGTATACGTAGCTAGAAAAAGTGAAAGTTAATGGACTTAGTATCTGGCATTACTATTTTATTAAATGGTTGCTCTTTGTAACAAATAGCCAGAGTCATAGAGACTGCGCAATGGAGTGATCTTTTCTTTTATTTTCTGAGAACAGATAATGTAGAAATGGTAAAACGATATTGCTGCATAAGAAAGATCTCATTATCAATACTAATTCTGTACCTGGCTGTTGGGAAGAATTTCCAGTGATTTCTTCTTTCCCAGTTTGCCATCAGTAGTTTATGGAGACTACACATCAGGTTCAGGACTTCAATGGAGCAGGAAAGAAGGAATGAGCTAAAGGAGCAATGAAGGGAAAGGGGAAAAGAGAAAGAAAAACAGAAAAAAATTAATCTTAAAAATGGTGAATCCAGAAAGTCAAAATCTTTCAAGAGACAAATAACAATGACAACTACAAAAAGACTCAGCTTTATTCAGGTTACTTAGAACTCTGGAGTGTGTGTTAGAAAAAAATTGCAAGGGGATTTGAAAGAATCTTCAAGTTCTACTCTTATACATCCATGAAAATGGAGGAAGGAAACAATCTAGCTTTGGGATATTGAGTGAAGAGGTTCTATCCAAGTCTTAGATGAAGGACATAGCTTTAAGTCAGATCTTTGTGTACACAGCCACAGGATCTAGGATGTTGGGTCAGGGGCTCCAGACACCAAGAAGATTCTTCAGCCCAATCACAAGATAAATTAATTATTTTCTATGTGTCCATAGAATCAAATCAAAAGTTCAATTTGGGAATACATTGTTCACTGTAGTTTATAAATTTAGTGTAGGATCCATCAATAATTCCAATCATCAGAGAAAAAAGCCTAGACTTAGAAGGAACACTGGATAGATGTCAACTACTTTCACCTCCTACTTCATAAGGGAATAAATACCCTTCCATGCCAGACAGGCATAACCTATTGTGTTTGAGCTGATATGGCTGTAGACCCTAATTGTTATAATGAACTTTTAAAACCATACATGGACCTGCATGAGTTAAAGAGTAGTCAGTAAAAACTTTCCATGAAGTTGGACCTCTAGAAGGACTAGCCCTACATATTTAAAAAAAAACAAAACAAAACAAAACTCTTTCCAGGAGCAAAATGAATCAGTAAGAAAGTTCAGATGTGCCGCAGTCCGGCTGCAGCAAAATAACCGGGGGGTGATGAATAACTTGTGTACGTTGATACAGCAGGAGTGGGAGCCGTTTATTGCAGGACAGGAGCAGTATTTATACATTCCATAGAGCTTATCTAATTAGCATAAACTAGATACATCAGTCAACCAATCAGGAATCTCCACACTTAATGGCTCGCTTTTGTTACTTCTCAAACCACGCCCTCTAGCATTTTGCCAGGCACCATCCAGACTTGTTTACGAACTCTAACATTCCCCTGACAAAATGCCAGGTGTTATTTTGACTTGTTTACAGACTCTAACATTTCCCCCTTTTGTTTAATTTAAATAAGGACCATAGTGGTTTTTACAGAAACACCATAAATAACCTGCTACAAACAGAAAGGGATGATACAAAATGCCACAATACCAAGCCAATTGATGGCTCCATGCAAGAAGCCCTTGGAAAAATTATACCAGCAATGACACCATTAGTAAAGATACCGAGTTACAATTTGTTGTAGATTACATTTTGTTGTCTCAGTCCAGGTAAAGCAGTGTCTCAATAGATTAACTCACAGTCCAGGTAAATCACAGTCCAGGTAAGTTCTGCAGGCAGCTAGCTTAAATCACAGTCCAGGTAAGTTCTGCAGGCAGCTAGCTTGATCCGAAGTCTCGTCCTTTTCTCAGCCGAAGTCTCGTCTGGTTTTCAGCCACACTGGAAATTCTTCCACCTTGGTCTTTACCGGCACTGGGACGAAGGCAGGAACTCCGGATGGCTAAAGAAAATCCTGTAGCATTCTACTAAGAAAACAACCTTCTGAACAATTTAGTACATTATCTCAAGGTTTTTTTGCATTTGAAATAAGCATTAATAGTGCTCATTACTCATCAGCTTCCAGGTGTGGGAGAACCATTGTAGCTTAGTTATTGGCATTGAAAATTACCAAACATCAGGGACACCAGTAGCGTCTTCTGCTGGCTGTAGTGCCTGGGCAGCCCCAGATGGCCCTGGGGAGTGTCCCGGACTCAAACTGCTACTGGGCACAGGGAGCAAGAGCCTGCGAGACTGTGCCTCCAGGTCAGGTCTAGATTTGGGCTCGCAGCAGTGGAAGAGCCAGCTCCCTGGCCAGGAGGCGGGGAAGGGCCAGTCGCCGCTGCCTTTTGGAAAATCCTTGCTGCGCTGTGACCGGCTTGCACACTCGGTAGCCGCCTCTCCGCTTCACGCACCCTCCGGTAACGAAAAGTATTTAGTAATAGCCTTTTGCTGCAACTTTTTTCCTGATAATCCTTCTTCTTCTGAACTTTCTTTTTCTTTCTGACTAGAGTTCCTGGGCTCTTATCAACACATGCCCTAACTATTCTTGGTTCCACTGGGGTGCCTTCTTTCCTTAGTAATTTACTTCTCACCCCTTCCATATTTTCATCACAAAGACAATACAATACACTGAGACAAAACAAGACACAAACATACTGTATCAATCTTCTCCATCTTCTTAAAATGGCCATTTTTCCTCTCGCCCTATCTGTCTAGGGACGAGCAGATTTGCTCCCGTCCTATCTATGGACGGGCAGCTTTTTTTTCGTCACTTACCCCCCCGAGTGTCCCAGGGCTCCCGGTACAGGCCACCATCTGCCGCAGTCCGGCTGCAGCAAAATAACCGGGGGGTGATGAATAACTTGTGTATGTTGATACAGCAGGAGTGGGAGCCATTTATTGCAGGACAGGAGCAGTATTTATACATTCCACAGAGCTTATCTAATTAGCATAAACTAGATACATCAGTCAACCAATAAGGAATCTCCACACTTAATGGCTCGCTTTTGTTACTTCTCAAACCACGCCCTCTGGCATTTTGCCAGGCACCATCCAGACTTGTTTACGAACTCTAACATTCCCCTGGCAAAATGCTGGGTGTTATTTTGACTTGTTTACAGACTCTAACACAGATGTCCTCCAGTAAAAAACAGAAACTTAAAGCCTTGTTGCTTGCAAATTCTTAGTCTGAATATATAGTACTATATGTTGTGGGAATCCCAATCTGAAAATTCAAGATAAAAATTGGTTGTTTTAGTCAACTACTTTGCTGCTGCGACTAAAAGTTCTGACCAGAACAATTTTAGGGGAGGAAATGGGGCTCACAGTTTCATATGTCTCCATCCATAGACAGGTGGCTTCATTACTCAGGGCTGGAGGTGAGGCAGAACAATGTGGCGAAAGAGTGTGGCAAAAGGAAGCAGCTCACATGATGATCAGGAAGCAGAGAGCGACTCCACTGCCAGATACAAAATATGTACCCTAAAGCCATGCCCCCAGTGTCCCACCTCCTCCAGCCACACCCTACCAGGCTTCAGTTGCCACTCAGTTAATCCCTATCAAAGGATTAATTCACTGGTTGGGTTTAAGGCTCTCACAACACAATCATTTCTTTTCTGAATCTTCTTGCATTGTCTCACACGTGAGCTTTTGGGGGACACCTTACATCCAAACCATAACACTGGTCTTGGGTATATGAACTTCTAAGGGTACCCAATAGGTGCAAACTGTACAGAAGAATACTTCTATACTTTAGGGTGCACTGAATTCTTAAAATATATTTTAATTCCCACTAATGATGAGTATATCTTAAAAATTAAAAAGCTATGAGGGGGAAAAACACAATAGGGGAGAGCAGCAGACATAACTAACAGGACAACATTAAATAATGCTAAAAGAACTGAAAAATAAGTCTGCTTTAAAATGATTAAAGGATTACAGAAAGGAATTAAAACCATAATGACATTATAATATGCAATGAAATTAACTAAAATTAACTAATATTTTGAACAGAACTAAATAAAACTTCTAGGAATGAAAATGTAAGCACTAAATTAAAAACTGAATAGCTGGGCTGGGGATGTGGCTCAAGCGGTAGCGCGCTCGCCTGGCATGTGTGCGGCCCGGGTTCAATCCTCAGCACCACATACAAACAAAGATGTTGTGTCCGTCGATAACTAAAAAATAAATATTAAAAAAAAAAACAACTGAATAGCTGAATTAAAAGTAAACTGGTTACCATTAAAGAAAGCATTAAGGAATTAGGAGATGTTTGGGGAAATTACCTAAAGAATGGCAGAGGCATATTATATTAGTATATTTGTCACTGGTATAACAAAATACCTGGAGCACAAGGAAGGATTGAGAAGGATAATGCAAAAATAAAAGGAAATAAAATAAATATATTTGTTGATATGCACGAGTTATGTAACAACAACAAAGTCTAATTCTAAATTTTTTTTAAAAGCAGCATAAAAATACTGTAAAACAAGAATATGGAAGATGAGTTGGGGGAGGTAGAGGCCTTGTAGTCACAGGAGTCAGAGCAACCCAAGGTTCTTTTGAGGTGAGGGGGGAAAACATAATGTTGATTAACCTAAGAAATCCCATGCAAATTTGTTGAATAACCTCTAAAAGAACAGAAATTGTTATGGCTTGGATGTGAGTTTTCCCCAAAAATCTTACGTGTGAAACGATTAGTTTATGAGAGTCTTAATCCAATCAGTGAATTAATATTAACTGAGTGATAATATTAATAACTGAGTGGTGAATAATAGTTATTATTAACAATTAATTGTGTTAATAATTAATTAATATTAGTAACTCAGTTAATGCTAGGTTATGAGAGTCTTAACCCAATTAAGGTTATGAGAGTCATGATTAGGTTATGAGAGTTTTAACCCAAATAAGTGAATTAATATTAACTGAGTGGTAACTGAAGGTGGGTAGAGCATGGCTGGAGTAGGTGGAGCATTGGGGTCATGGCTTTGGGGTATATATTTTGTACCTTGTGAGTGGAGTCTCTCTGCTTCCTGATCATCATGTGAGCTGCATCCCTCTGTCACACTCTTCTATCTGATATTTTGCCTCACTTCAAGCCCTGAGTAATGGAGCTGGCCTTCTATGGAATGAGATCTCCAAAACTATGAGCCCTCCAAAGAACTTTTCCTCCTCTAAAGTTGTTCTTGTCAGGTCTTTTAGTTACAGCAAGTGAAAAGCTGACTAAAAGAGAAAAACATAGATGTAGAAGGAAAAAAATCACCCCCAAAGCATGGCAACTCTCATACTCAAATCATGGCATGTGCATATAACAATATAGCCTCTGTGTGTGTGTGTGTGTGTGTGTGTGTGTGTGTGTAATAAA